TACTTTCTGTTCGTTTTTTAAACTATTATTAAAGTTCAGGGTGTAGCACAGATAAAATGGAGTATATTCTGATATTTTGAAGCAGTTTGGAGCAATTTCGAGTGAGTTATGAATTCTGACTGCCCTACAGAATGTCCAGTTTGCCTAATCAGACCACTGGTCAGTAAACTGTAAGTAAAAAGGACCTTATCCTCTTTTCTTGATCAGGATCTGTTTTTTTTCCTGACCAGTAAAACAAATCAAGAACAGGACTTGATTTCTGGATAGTCATCACGCATTTAACTGATACCTCGGCGTTATAAGTGACTATAGCTTTTTCTGGTTTGATTACATCGTGTTTTACTCGGACTTTTCTTCGAGCACATGATGTAAACAGTTTTTGAGGTTTTTATCAGTCCTATAATCCTTTTAGGGCCTCACAATCTTTATCTGCAAACGAAAAAAGGTATGTTGTAACGGAAATCATACATCAAAGACAAAGAATTCAGTGCGAGTACACAGCAATTTCGGCTCTCTAATGCCTCATGTAAACTCTTCTTGCGTTTTCTTGCCATAATGTTGAGCTATTTTCGATCTATTTTAAGTTAATAATAAGCTAAGACTTCCAGATGAAATTTTCTATTCCGATGCATGTGCTTCTTAATTATGACTTGACATATAACGAGCATTTGATCATTTGATCAAATAAAGGTGAGAGCAGTTGATGCTTTATGGTTCGCATGTGAATATTAACAATAAGGTAATGTTTGCCGCATGTAAAGAAAACATTCACGCTTGAACTTTCAGAGAATGTGCACCCGTAGATATTATCGCTAAAATCAGTTTGTTATTAGAGCCAATCTAATATTCTGTGAATGAGGCGGAATGGCTGAGCCCCAATCCTCTGTGCATCAGACAGAACCGAGCCGATCATTACTACATCCTGAGAGTTACTAACAGCAAAGGGATACATCAAAGATACTCACAATCACTATAAAAACATCAACCTTTAATGCATTTCTCACTTCTTGCATTTTTATTTCAAGGTCTTTGCACAGTCTGTACATTTTATTGAGCCTATACGTCAGAGAAGTACTCATATCTGATGCATACTTCTTGAGAAAGGCTCATTTCTGATACCCAGGATAGCTAAAGAAAGAATATTCGACTCTGCGATAATAAGCGTGGCAAGGATTTAAGTCACTCTACTCTCTCATTCACTAAACTGCTGTATACTTCCTCTGTAAATTAATTACTTTTTTTAATGTATCCGTACTTTGAAAAAGTCAAAAGCTGCAGATATAAACTGCAAAAAGTTAAAGTATAGAAATAGTTTGCACTCCATGTAAAGAAAATAAGAAGTGTCGTGCCGTGTCGTGTATATAACGAACACTTTCTTGCATGTCTGTTTTAGTATGAGAATAATGAAAAGGTATCTTTAATCACGCACGTGACCACCGTATGATTAAGATAAGCTACTGAGGTTTGACCTACTGAGGAAAAATTATCATTGCGTTGCTCTTTAGTCTCTCACCATTTTCGATGAAAAAGAATGTATACGCCCGTCTTGGATATCGCCTGTCCCGATTCTTGTATCCGAAAAACGAAAAATATATAGTTTTAAATTGGCGAATTCAATCTAATAGGTTAGGCCCTGTCTACACTACAAAAGTTAAAGGAGCTTTAAGTAATTCTATTGGCTAAAAGTTAGTTTAAGCCAATAGAATTGCTTAAAGCTCCTTTAACTTTTGTAGTGTAGACAAGGCCTTAACTTACTGAAAAATTTCTCAGTACACTTCCTCAGAAGCTTATCCTGATCCTCCCGTATAGCTTATACAAAATGTGGGCTACATAAACTATATACATTGGTCTAGAAGATTATCTATAGATATAAATTTAAATGTTCACGTGAAAAGAACTGAAAATAAATTCTCTTGCCTTCTTGCAGTTGGAAAGCGGGTGTCCATGTAGCGCGTGATTCCGTCACGATTTTTGTTGTTTTGTGAACCTCTTGGCGTTCGAACAAAAGGAAACTAAGGAACTGTTTACATGTTACATCGTAAAACTTTTGTTGTGCTTGATGGGCACGATATTCTGTGAAAACGGAATATATCGCATTTTGTTCAGCTCAATTTTCTCTACAAGACTAGATGTAAACAGCTCCTTAGTTTCCTTTTGTTCGAACGCCAAGAGGTTCACAAAACAACAAAAATCGTAATGGAATCACGAAAAGGCGACCGTTACGTAGGCAGGCCGAAAGAAAAGTACAGCCTATCCACCCCTGATCAGTGCCTATTTTTGGAAAATGTCAAGATCAGTCCGAGATTTACTATGTCTGATCAGTAGAAAGAACAGATTTTCCTGACCTGTTCTTACCGCTTTCTTGGTCTGGTCTTGGAACCGATCAGGACAAGAGGAAACTTGTGAAACTGATAAATTTTTATTTTGGGCGGGTTGTACACCTTTCCCCAAATTTAGGGCTCTGACTGTTTGCCTTTTTCGTTTTTTCTCTTTTATATTATTCTATTCAATTAAATTAACCGCTGCAAATTTTTGTTAATTGTTAAATGTCTTTGTTTTTGAGTATTCACATCTCATCTCCACTTAAATTAATTAAATATCCTAGAGCGACTTTTTTGAACGATATTTTATAAATTAAATGTATTGAGAAATATAATCACCTTTAATTCAATCGGAAACAGTTCCTTGAGATTAGAGAAATGCTTGCTGTTAACGCATCAGTTTCACACTGATACATCAACGTAATAAAATTTTCGTTTAAGAAAAACGCACTGTGCATCCGATACTTCACTCAGATGTGAAATTCCTTGTAGTTGATAGAATGGCTTTGGAACGATCATAGGATTCCTCGAGAAAAATGAGATAGAAAAACGATATATCATATGTCCACGATCTTGAACGCAACAATAAGACGCGATTAAATCCTTGAATGTTGTATCTTACACACACATTAACCATTTATTATGATAAAATTTACTTATATTAAGAAAATACATTATGGATAAAAGTTTGATCCCAAAAGCAGACAGATGTTCAATGAATTTATTAATGGCTTAATTTAATCTTATAGTTTGTTAGAACTGATGACTATTAAATTAATTGGAGCAAAATGTTTGTAATTGGCTGTAAATTGCAATGCTCATTTCAAGTTTTCTTTGAATATTTTATGTCGTCAGTTAGACTCGCACTCGTAAATGAATTTCTACCCGTACTACCACCTACAGTATAAAAAAAAGGTCAAAAGTTGGTGATTTGCATATAGAGACTATATGCGATGAGAGAAAGCGACATCTTACCAACAGAAACATTAACATGAGATACAATGGTTGATGGTCTTGTACTCATGATAACGGACGTGTAGAATTCAGGAGTTGTTGGTGCAGAAATATAAGATCTTGGTTCGCGACATTTTAGACCTTTTGATACTTCTTGCTTGTAGATAATGCCTTCCTGAAGAAAAACATTATATACAATCCTAATAAGAAACCTATACATTTTCTGATGGGATCCTTGAGAGGTCCTGGTACGATTCTATTTGGATTTAGCTTGCTATTTGGTAGGATCCTAGGAAAACCCTACAGAATCCTAAAAAATTACGTATCTCGGAAAGTCGTAGGATTTACTAGGGTTCTGTTAGGATTCTACCAAGAAAATGCTATGACTGAATTATCATGTAAAAATACGCTCACGCAATGTATGAACAGCGTGTTTGACCAAAAATTACCAAGTTTTTCGTTGTAACTCTGAACACACGTTTAAAACAGGCTCGAATATATCTTATTACTCCAATCTAAGATTATCTATCCTTCTTTATTAAGGCGAAAAGTCACGGCAGGATCTTAAATGTTAGAATCCGCTCCGGATCCCTGACGGGAGCCTAGCATCGAAGAACCTGCTAGAAAGGAGGGGGCATATTTGATCAGAAAACGATCCCTCATTTTTTGCCTTATTTTGATTGGACTTTTGTCGAAAAGACATTTGCACACATTGCCCAGTTGTTCTTATGGAAAATAAGCTGAAAATACGTTTTTAACCTCGGTTGTTTTGAGATTCCATCAGAGAACGCCGTTCTTAGAAAAAATAACATTTTTGAAAAATCCAGCATAGGTTTCCCACAAACCTTGGTATGAAAAGATAGTCAGTGAAAGACTGAATAAAATACTCTATGAACAATCTTTATACATCATTTCAATACGAAGAAATTTTTTTTACAAGAGACAAATTGACCTGAAACGCGGTATCACGTATGTTTTAAGTTCTTTTTTCGTCATATGCAAACGAGGATGCAACTTGTATTTGACATATCAAGTACAAGTCGGATCATTGTTTGCATATGGAGAAAAAAGTACTTAGACCATCGCTGATATCGTCTTTTTAGGTGCAACATTGTCTCTTGTAGAAACTATAACTGACTCGGCCAATTAAGATTCTTTAGATAGAATTTTGTAGAGCAGATCAAGGGCTATATTTCTATACCAAACACAAAGTGCATCCTCGTTTGCATATGACGAAAAAAGTACTTAAAACATACGTGATACCGCGTTTCAGGTCAATTTATCTCTTGTAAAAATAATTTCTTCGTATTGAAATGATGTATAAAGATTGTTCATAGAGTATTTTATTCAGTCTTTCACTGACTATCTTTTCATATCAAGGTTTGTGGGAAACCTATGCTGGATTTTTCAAAAATGTTATTTTTTCTAAGAACGGCGTTCTCTGATGGAATCTCAAAACAACCGAGGTTAAAAACGTATTTTGAGCTTATTTTCCATAAGAACAACTGGGCAATGTGTGCAAATGTCTTTTCGACAAAAGTCCAATCAAAATAAGGCAAAAAATGAGGGATCGTCTTCTGATCAAATACGGCTCTCCCCTTTGTTAGAATCCTAAACTGATTATAATAGAGTCCGAAATGTTTAGCATCCTGTAGGATCCTAGTAGAAAACAGATAAGAAGTGCATAGGATTTGGTCTAGGGAATAGGAGTAGAGGAAAAACAATTTATTTTAATACCATTGCTGCTATTTGTTCAAATTTAGCCAGTACATCATCTCCATATGACGAGCATAATGTAATCAAATTTTGCATAATTTTTCGATTTGCTTCGTGATAAATTTTAACGTCAACATCGAACTCTTTTGCATCAAGAATTTTTCCATGACTTTGTTCTCGATTCAGTTGTTGAATTTTTTTTATCTAGAAGACAACATCGATATAATCCATGACCTAGTTAGAATCCCAGACATTTTTACGCGATTGTCTGCTCGTTCAATTTTTATTCGAAATCGATTTAGTTCATCTTTCAATTTTGAGCATGTATGCTCCTTTTCTTCACTAGCTAAACAAAAGTTCTGAAGTTGTTCTTCGAACATAGTCAAATCCACTGATTGAGTCTAAAAATAAATGAAAAATGAACGTAATTCATAATATGTATACAAAGAACTACAAACTTGTTCCTCTTCATCGTAATCACGAAGCATCTTTCGACGAACTAAGTGACAAAGAAAATGTTTTAGAATTTATTAACTATCTATCTTCTATTCCTACTTCGAACTTTTTCTACAATTGTTCTGAAATGTTCTTCCAATTCTTCTATTTGAATTATTTCTGGACCTTTAAAGAAAAATGAATTTTAACTATTCTTCTTTGACTTCTTAAATTTTACTATTGTCTTGTAGTTTTTCATAACATTTTTTAATATCAATATTATTCCAATTGAGTAATTGTACTGTATTTTCTAGTGCACGTAATTCCGTTTCCGCTTTCGTTACTATTGCTTCTAATTGATCACCTTGTTTCAATAATTCTTCTCTCATTTGAGCTACCTAAACTAGACAAATCAAATCGATCTAAGAAACTAGTTTAGAAATAGAGCATGTATAGTATCATACCTTAATCACATATTGCGCTTGTGCAAGAACATTATCTAACTGTTTTTCTCTGTCTGTTGTAAATGCAAATAGTTCATATCTAAAAAATTTTTATTTTTAAGTCATTTCTTCTTCTATACACTGTACCTGTTTTTTAATTTTTCTATTTTTGATATGCGTATATTTAATTCTGTTGAAATTGTTGACTTTTTTGATTGTTCGTCATTCAGTTGAATACGAAGAATATATTGATTTGCTTGTATTTCTAATCGACGTTCTTTAATGATCTATAAGTTTAGAAAACATTATTCCGATTACTAAATAATAATACATCACTGATACTTTTTGCATTTCAATGTTTTGTTGTTCTAAATCGCATGTTATTTCACTTGAATGATGCAGAATATTTTTTAAACGTTTTAGTTCAACTTTTAATAAATTTTCTTCGACAAGAAAATCCTGTAACAAATGAACTTATAGAAATATAAAACCATCTTCAGTAGTTGAGACGTCTGCAATCATTTGTATTCTTTCGACATAGGGATGCACCGATTAATAATCGATGTTGGGGCATTCAGAAAAACCGTTCCGACTTGGTTTTAGTAAATCTCTCAGAACTGCAGAATATCTCATTTTGTAGAGAAAGGTTAACTCTCCAAAGGTAAAGTGTTAAAAAGGGTTTAATGTTATATATAGAAAAAATATGATTAACCAAAAACGCACAAAAGTCGCAAAAAAATAATCGATCTTCGCTTTTTTTTTTGCGATTTTGCACATTTCTGAATATTTCAGTTTCTGTCACAAATAATATTAAACCCTTTTTAACACTTTACCTTTGGAGAGTCAATCTTTCTCTATAATCTGTGATTAAATTTAGCAATTTTTGCACAGAATATTTCTCATAGTTGCATCTTCCTTTTTATCAGAGGGGGAACTTGAAATATAGAACAGATGTAGAAAAATTCTCAAGTTGTAACTCTTTAGCGTTTGAAAAGAAAGTTTGAAATACTGATCCCGTCATATTTTTTTCAGTAAAATCTACTTTACTCAGCCTGAATGATATTTTGTCTTAAAACGTACTACTCGTGATTATGGCAAGCCCTTCTTCTTGAATTTGTCTAATAAACTTAAATTAATTTGAAAAACTATCTCACTTTTGCGTAGACTAACATTTTTCAGAAAGACTTTGATGGTACTATGAACTGAAATTGACAGAAAAGTTTCAGACGAGCATTTATATTTTATCGCAAACCGTACAATTGGCTCACAATCGTCTCAGCTATCATACTTCTTTGTCATTAATTAATTTTTTCTCTATTTTCTCCGATAATGTTATATATAAATCAAATTCCATAAATTTTCCATTTAGAATGGTTTTTTCACTTGTTAAACGTTCTAAATCACGTCTTGTTGTACGCAATTCTTCATTTAAAATTTTTATTTGTGTTTGTAATAATTCAAGACCAGATTTTTTCTCTTTATATTGTGTTTGTAAATCACGAATTTTTGAATCAGATTCCGCATATTTTTCACTACTTTTCTCGCCAAGCACACGAGTTACACGTCGTTCAACGCCTTGAAGATCAAACTCCTACAATTAGAATAAACCATATGGATCAGTTTAAAGCTCTTTTTCTTAAATTTTTTGTTCTATAAATACACACCAAATGATACAATAATTCTTGATGTTTTAATGCTTGTTGATCAATTTTAGCCATTTGACTTTTAATATTTCGTAAATGAACAACAAACGAATGAATATTAACATTTAACTTTTTTTCCGTTGTTTTTAAAACGACTATTTCTTGATTAGATAAAAATGATTGTTCGGATAATTTTTTATATTCATTGTCTAATTGTTCTAGACGATGTTGTTCTTGTTCGATTAAATTTTCAAACTTTGTTAATTTTTCTTCTGACGTCAATTTTTCATTTAGTACTTCACGTTTATGATTAATTACTTGTTCTTTTCGTTGTTTTGCTTGTTGTAAGCTGTGCTTTTCACAAAACAGACAATATCAGTACTGGAAAAGTGTAAAATATTATCATCAAATACGAACTCTTGTAATTTAAACATAATTTCTGTTTTAATATCTTTAAGTGTGATTCGTTCTTTTTCTAAACGATTATTTATGTTGGTCACATAATTTTTCAATGATAACATCTGAAATATCATGATCACGCGTATAAAATTTGGAAATTATTAAAATTTGTTTCATACCTCATTTTCAAAATTTTCCCGATGTTCTTCTAGATATTGATGTTTTTGTTTTAATTTTATTATTTTAGCATTATTAAACTCGATTTGTTTTTCTGTTGTTCGATTATTATGTTGTTCATACGAATAAAATGCTTTTCTTTCATTTAATTTTGTTTCTTTAGTACGTACTTCAGCTTTGATTTGAACTAATTCCTAGTTAATTTAGAAACAGTGTCACCTGCTGGTGATGTTTGTTCGTCGTGTGCTTCAAGGTTATTGAGGTTGAATCTTAACGCTGACAGGTTATGTAATAACTTAGGGTAAGTTTCTTATACGTGTTGGGTCACACTCATCCGGTACCATACTTACTTCACTGTGCCGTATAATACAGTCCCTCTGACTAGTTCGCGTAGCTTCCAGGAAAGCTAGTACGTGGTTAATGAGTATGTATTCAAGAAAATTGGGCAAAAGAACTCTATGTCTAACTAGAACCTGCTATTCAGAGCTTTAGTTGGTGACTAGTGCCGATCTAGACAATCGTATCAGACGCTTGTTAACTGTAGGAAAGATATGGAGCTTAGGCATGTGACAGTTCATAGTTCCTTGTACTGCAGTTTCTCGATAACGGGAACTGTTTTTCAGTTTCCATTCCTGAACTAGGAACGATTCAGCAGTTCACGTTTCTAGAAACGAGGAACGGTTCACCAGTTTCAGTTCCTGCAAACGGGAACTACAGTTCTTTTTGAACTGGAAACTGCTCAGTGTCCCTTAGTGATTTGTTGATATATTATGTATTTCATTTCACAAATATAAGAGTTTGAAAGAGTGAGTACTGGAAAGAGATACGCTCAAAGAGACTCCCAGATTAGGTGGTAGACTTTGCTGATTGAATTTAGTTCGTTATTTCTTAAGATCTTGATCTACCAGCTACAAGTGTGGCTAGCGAAAGTAAGATGCACGTAAGTCGCCTCCGGTTTAGAAAAAATTAATTTTCTCAGCAACGAAACAAAATTTTAAAAAAAGCTCTTCATATTTTTAAAGCTGGCGTGTTGGCCGATCTGATGGTGTGTGAATCATCGGTATAGCCCTTCATCCAAAAAACTAGATAGGTTTACAAAATGAGTTATACCCAGCTGACAGCTGTTGGTTCGGCCGTTCATGGCGGACGAGTGTTTTCCTCTGAAACGAACTGAAAACCTTTTTCTAAATCAGTTTTCAATGCTGATTCACAAAAATATAGTGCGAACCTTTCATCTTGCAATATAACCTCAAAAAGTCAATTTCATCGTAGGGGACGGTTTTTTGTATTTTTGAGGTCCTATCAATAATTTGGGTTTTTCTTCATGAAGAAATGGTTTTGGGAGGCTCGGAAGGTGATATTCGTGATCAGCGCGACGAAGCGAATCACAATATATGTAAAAAGACGAAAAATAAAATCTGCTCAAATTTTGCTGTATGTGCAGCTTACATTTTCGCAAGGTAATCAATCGTTTTTCAAGGAAAAATCGACTGTCACTAACTTCAGCAACAACGAGAATATCTATGTTTTTCAAAGACAAAGTATGAATGTTTGTAGTTTTTATTATTTTGATTGTTAGATCTCTGTGAAATTTTGCTCAGAAACAAGCACGCAAAGGAACGACACCAAATAAACCGTCATATTCATATTGAACCGTAAAATGCACTAACATGCTAAAGGAGATAGAACGCTAGTAGATTAGAAAAAGAAGCTCAAGTATATCATACAGTTTCCAGTTAAAAAAGAACTGTAGTTCCCATTCGCAGGAACTGGAGAACCATTCCTCGTTTCTAGAATCTTCTCGGAAGAAACGTGAACTGCTGAACCGTTCCTAGTTCAGGAATGAAAACTAAAAAACAGTTTCCTTTGAAAGAACGAGAATCGCGAACTATCACAGGCCTAATGGAGCTATTAAAACTAACACTTGTTAGTATCCCACACCGATAGCATAGAGTATTCTTTCTTCTTAATTTTGTGATTGGTTAATACCGATTAATATTTTAATGTTCGCTACACAACTTACTACTGCTAGAACATCGATATCATGATCTTTTCGTTGCATTTGTTTAATAATTGTTTCCCAACGTCGGATGAGTACTTGTCGTTGTTTGTGTGAGCGACGAAATGTATCAGCCAATTTGTCTAATTCCACCTTAAAGTATGTATGTGATCAATCCACATTGCTCTTCATTCTAATATTTGTGTCAATTAAACGAACCTGAAGACTGGAAAAAGACATTGTTTCTTCTTCAGCCGCTCGTTTTATTTTACATGATTTTTCTGATAATCTTTCAGCTTCTACAATTAACTCCTAAAATTTTCAACAATATTATATTTCATATTTGCGATTTTTTCATGTTCTTACCTTAATTTTCGCATCATCTTGTCGAGTGTATTTCATCAGATGAATCGTTTCATCATCTCGTTTCTTTAGAAAATTGATAAATTTTTCTAATATCTCTTGCTCATCAACGGCTACGTTTGTTATTTTTTTTATCTTTTCCGACAATATATTGATTTCTTTCTATAACAAGCGAAAAATTTATCGTACATTATTTTAGTCGAAGTTCGTATCTAGTGATATTTTACTTCAAATTTTAGTTTTCGTTTACTAAATTTTGTTAAATCATGATCAATCGTTTTCATTTGAAATTTTAATCGTTTTATTTCAATTTTATCATTTTCAATTAACATATTGTCTGTTGTCGTTTTGATATGATGAGCAGCTAGTAAACGCTGTAACAATAATAAATGATTTCCCTAAAATGTTAGAGTACAAAGTTCAACACGTACTTGCGTTGATGCTAATTCATCATCGACAGCTTTATAATGATTATCAAGCATTCGAATACGATCAACATTTTCATCAATTGTACCTTGTAAACAAATCACCTGCTTCGTTTTTGATTCAACCTACAAGCAAGAGAAAGCGAGAGAAAGAAAAAATGAATATTTTTATCGAATAATTATCATCCTGAATTCAATACTAACAGCTTCTTCGAGCAATTTGTTCAAATTACTGATGAGTGGAGCTGGTATTCGAGTATCTGTGAAATCGTCTCCGAGAACGGTTCGCAACAATTCTGGTATATTATTGTATTCCATTTTTGTTTGATTTTCACCAGTCGACACTTATAAGATCATGATAGCGCAAAAGAATCAAAGATATTAATTACAATATGTCTGTATAATTGTACTAATGTAATAAAATGCGCCATCCTATTATCATAATACATGATCAGCAGAACAGTCAGAAAATATCTACTAAGAAACCTTCCACAAATGTCTGCTCGATTTTCCATTGAAAGCTACTTGATTATAGGTTATTTTTTATGCTGACCACGTATATATTGTCCTTTTTTGGCTGATACGGTTCTTTTTAGGTGTATATCTGAAAAAACATCCCTCAAGACTCTAAATTCTATGATGAATAAATTTTGATTCATTTTGTTTGCAGAACTCTTCGAATTAGCCATGGAAAACAATTTTAAGAACTACCGAACAAGTTTTCGATAAGTGGCAAAGAATTTGCTATCGAATTTTGCGCTGAAGTAGGTAAATCTCAAACATTTGTTCATGAAGATGATTTACAAAATGAAAATCATATTAATATAAATACAAACAATTCTATTATTCTATTAAAGTCGATGAACGAGACTCTGCCGGCAAACATATCAAATTTATTTCAAAATATCTTACAGACAAAAAACGATTAATTTATACTATCGATCGTATTGCCAAGAGAAGAAATACAATTTATTATCTATTAATTGTCGATCACGAAAGGGATAAATTGAATTTGCTTTCGTCTCAATATGGCTTAGTTTAAGTTCTCAAACCAAAGTACGATAATAATATTATATCTCCATTTACTTCACGTTGACTTTGTAAATAGTTTATCTGTCATAGTTGAATATTTATTTCAACGTGTTAGTATGCAAAAGTGTGACTGATACAGAAAGAGTAATATCATTCTTATTATTAGTTACTTTACAAATTTTAAGACGCATTAAGGCGTACGTGATTAATGACTATGGTCTCACCCAAATGATCGTCTATAATTCGTTTATAATGAAATTACCTCTAATTCAACCAAAGGACATCTCCTGTTTTCAAAATTTAACTCAATCAACATTTAAATATATGTTTTGTAGAGTGTCTAAAGGCGCACCAAAAATTCTGTGTATTTGTCAGATTTTGAAACTCTATAGTTATTAAATAAGTGACTAATACCACACTTTTTACAATAATTATGGTAAATTTTACAATATAGTGTACGGAGAAGATACAATCATTAAAGTATTGTCAAAAATATGAATAGAAATTTGACGTACAAGGATTTTGTAGAGAACAGAATTAGGGCTAAAAAGAGAACGGTTGTCTGTTTATGGTCAAAATCGGAGTAATTAGAGAACGATCAGAATTATAAACGGAAAAAGTCGAAAAGCGAACGGAGTTAGTACTGAGAAGAGAACGGTTCGGAATTCCGAGTTTAAAAGACTGAAAAGAGAATATTCATATGTTCGAATAGTGAATTATGATCTATATATATCTTGCATTATTTGCAAAAAAATATTATACAAAAAAGTGCAAATATATATGATATTTCAAAAAAGTAGAGAAAGACTAGATTGTACCTCAGAATATGGTTCTTTTACTGTTTACGTATCGATGTGTAAATATGAAGAAGCATGCGTATGAAAAATTCTACTTTAGAATTGTACAAATACAGTGAAAAAATAACTTTCAAAACCGTTCTCTTTCCAGTCTCGTTCTCTAAACAGGGTGAAAATTTAATAATTCGTACTCCGTTCTCCATTGCTTCTCTTTTCATACTTTTTCCCAATTGGACAGACAACACAAAATAATAGCACGTTTTTTCTTTCATTGATACATACATACATGAGCAACTGCAAGTATTTTGAACTGAACTTATCTATTTCTGGCTATATGAAATATAATCGATTACTAAAACAAAATTTCTGAAACTTCTATTTAGAATAGTTGCTAATTTAAGTTTAGAACAAAAATTGTTACAGTTCAAATTTTTGGCTTCAAAAAGAATACAATATCATTGTTATTATTATGTGAGGATTGCGTTCAAATGACTTGAAGGGAAAGGGCTTAAGTTTTATGCATTATCTACGTTCAATATAGAAAAATTTTATTATTAAGTGAAAAAAGTAGGACAGATATAAATAAAAAAATAAACAATTGGTAGGATCAAAAGATCATTTGAAAAGTTTTTTATTGAACAGTTGAAAATGGAAAATTAAAATAAAATAAAATAGTTTTGTTGATTATTGTGTCAAGATAACTGGTTCACTCTTTACAATCCAAAAGTGTTTATAATCGATAACAACCGTTATCCTTCAAACAAAAACAGAACAGTTGAGTATACACAACAAATAAACGAAATAGAACTGATTAATTTTTATCATTTTCAAGTAATTCCAATGTTTATCACAGAGTACTCACCAAAATTGTATTATTTTTTTCTCGTTGTTAGAATTTTCAAGGTTTTTCCATGTAAGTTTGAATGATGTTATGTCACTGAATGGATAATTATGTGTTAGTCCATTCCCCTAGAAAAAGATGACTTAAAACGATCAGTTTATGAAATAGTTTGAATGTTTACAATTTGTACTCACAGTGTTACAATCAACCAAATGCATATTCGATGGAGTTTCAAATGTACCAATTGCAAAATCTGTATTTAATTTTCGTCCTTGTATAAACATTCCTTTGATTGGTTCATTCGATTCAATATAAACTGAAAAATATAATAAAATTATCAAAATCTCGTAGAAGTGAAAAAGCTGAAAGGGAATTAGTTGTTACTTGTGTATGCAACTTTTATTTTTCTCACTCTTCTAAGAGCTGGTCTAGAATTTGGTAGATAATAGTGTTTATATATGCATTTAATTTAAAAAAAATTTAGTATTTTTATACTGTGTGTAGTCAGTCTGATAGTACTTTTGGATATTGTGTCACTGATTATCTATACATCTCGTTAAAAATGTTTTATTGCACTTATAGCAATTAGTTTACATTTATATAAACATTTTGTATCATAAATACTCGTTAAATAAGGTAGAATACATACACTGAACAACAATAACAATCTTGCTTCCAGTGATGTTTTTAATGTGGAAATATATTTCAATAGATTTGTATTTTGCTATATTTTACTTAAAATCTTCATCATATACTGTGTATATTTTCATCGATCGTAGGTCCTATTTGAAGACGACAAAACGTGTAATAAGATTTATATTCAACTTCAGCTTGATATCATTTATTGGAATTCATTTAAGTATCTAGTGATAATGAGACTTTTATACATAAAGTGGTATTTTTATTCTAATTTATTCAAAACTGAGTGTCCCTGTTGTTGTATTAATTGTTCTTAAACTGCCAAGATAATGCAATCAGAATTATTTGCAAAAATATTAACATAATTAGTTGATTTTAACGAAAATTCTCAATAGTACTTACTCTTATTTTCAAGGTAGAGTAAAATGGATGAAATGTAAAACTTTCTCTATCCTTTATATTATGTTGAAAAATTGTTATATCACACTTTTTCTACTACGATTTAGTGATCATATCTTCGTTTATCACACGTTTTGAATTTAATGATTTCTCACATTTAATTTGCATTTGACAAGTAAATAGAAGAAAATGAGAGAAGTACCTGTAATTGTTGATTTGTTTGTATTCCAAACACATGTAAAATTTGTTATTGGACTTGTTGTTTTAGATTGTGATACATGAGGATGATGACCAGGCATCATAGATTCACAAGCCTTCTTTGGCGCACCATATGGATAGGAATAGACAATCGCGACAAATAATAGATTAAACAGTAGAACACTAATTTGATATTTAAGCATTTTATTCAAAAAAAGGTTTTGAGCAAACAATAGAAATCAGGATGATACTTTGATTATGATGATTAGTTAATTTTTTCTGATATTTTTTATACCATCTGATTTAAAGCAAAATATACCACCACGTCATCAAACAATGCGGATTGAATTCTTTCTTTTTGTCATGGTATGCATGTTTATTACTCTGTATGTAAGATAATTGCGTATATTTCTTTATGCGTACATACATGGTGGGGAAATTTGTCGAAGTTTTACGACGTTGGGATCGTGCAGTTGCAGCATCAGATGCATGGTCATGTGTGAACTTTCTACAATTTCACATGCGTTTACAAGTAAAAATTTCTTTTCAGGCACACAGTGGGCATTTTTCCATAGAGCAGGCGGACATCTGGTTTTTTTGAGTTAGAAAATGATTATTTTAGCATAATATAATCTTACTATGTGTCAGATATTAGTAGAAGTAAAAAACGTCGAATTCGAAAAAAAATGTTTTTCGACAAAAAATTCCTTAGGAGGACTCTTGCCCTGAATTTTTGTCAAAAAATGTTTTGTTTGTAAAACTAACAAACTATACATCATTCGATGCAGTTTTTCACGCTGATTCCGAATATGACTTTATGTTATGGAAAAAGTGCTCTTGTGGGG